CCTCCCTGCTGCTGTGGTTCTTGCTTTCTCCTGTGTTTGTTCAAGGTGTGCAGATCCTCCCTGGCCCTTTAGGAAGAGAGGACATGATACTTGTGTATGCTTTATGTTTTCCTCTGTCTGTGTGATACAGGTTCTTGCTGATGAGGAGTGCTTGGTGTCATTGGCTTATCTTTTTATTTTGATTTTATGGTTGTTGTTTCTTGATGTTTATGTTTTTAAACTGGTTATTAATTGGTATAAACAAAGCTTTGTTTGCCTTTGGCTTCAGGTCTTGTGCCCGCAGTCCCTTGGAAAGCATCATGAGCAGAGTGAAGGAAATTGGTGAGACCTTCTGTTGCTGCTACACTCAGTCAACAGATGAGCAGCCAGGATCTCACATAGGTATGGACTGAAAATACTAAACCAGGGCAAACAGAATGCATACCTGTACTGTTTTCTGTATTTAGTACAGTGGGGCTGGTTTTATCCCAGGATACACCCAAGCAGAAAACTGCTGCTGTCAAACAGTACACTGTAAAGAATAAAAATTTATGGCAGGGTAAACCCAAGACTGCAGTTCAAACTGGGATAACCAAGAAATCATGGAAAAGCAACTCTTAGCAAGTGTAAACTTGCAATTTTGTTAGCTTTATAATTTAAAGGAAACAGAAAGCAAATAGGAAAATAATTATTGCAAAATTACATCACAAGAGATATTACAATAAATAATCCTTTAAAATGTTTATGGAATTTCATGCTGTGTCTGGGACTAGTGGATTTCTGAACTTTTTTTTTTGTTTGCAAAGTATGTATATACTCATGTGAACTATTGTTTTGGATGAGAACAGGTGCTGGTCAGATCAGTCTTAACCCTGTTTGTGCCAGTGGCATTTGACTTAATCTCTGTTGATTTTAAATTTCAGATTTTGCTGTAAACAGATTAAAACTGGCAGAGATCTTGTATTATAAAATCTTGGAGACTATAATGGTGCAAGAAACACGGAGACTGCATGGGAAGGATCTGACTGTAAGTAAAGAACCAGTGAAAGATGAGAACTCTTTTTTGTAGCTGTTTCTTGGGAGTTTATCTTCAGGCAGTTTCAGAACAAAATACTGTAAAGCACTCTGTGTATGTTGTTAATACTAAAAAGGGGAAATACATGGGAGCTGCCAAAATGTATTTTTCTTCTACAATTTAAACCAGTATAACTATCATAATTAAGCATTTTAATTTCTGTTGCCTTCTAGAATTACAACTTTATGGACTGATAACTTTTATCTTCTTTACCCAATGAGCAGTACCAATGCTTCATGTTAGACAGCACTACATTTGCTCTGTTTTATGATGCACAGCAATGAGGCCAGCTCATTTGTCCACAGCATGCAAAATGTGATCATTTTGGTGTTGTTACTCTACTTCTGTTCTCCTCAACGTCCCTGTAAAGAGGAGGTTGTAGATTGTAGTAGGAGTCCTTGTAAAATCTATGTATTGTGTAAGTGGCTGTGCCCCAGTCCTGGTTGTTCTAAATGAGCTACAGCTGTGATGTCCTTAGTTGGGCAGCAGCTGTGGCTCGTGAAGATAACTGGGATAAAAGGGGGTGGGTTGGCCAGAGGGAGCCTTGGAGGAGCCCTGACAAAGCAGCAGGAACAACACTGCTGTGAAGAGCTGCTCGTGAGAAACCCACCTAGAAAGGCACGGGATTCTAGAAATAATATAACAGCAGTATGATTACAATAGTGGATGGGAGAAGAGGACGGCTTCTTTCCAGCAGTAAGCTGTGTAGTGTCAGTGCCACAGAACCCCAGCCTGTGTTTCCCGGTTGTGAGGGCCGTGGCCGTGGTGTGCTCTCTGCAGGCTCTCCTGGAGCAGGATGTCTTTCACCGCTCCCTCCTGGCGTGCTGCTTGGAGATCGTGCTCTTCGCCTACAGCTCCCCTCGCACCTTCCCCTGGATCATTGAGGTGCTGGACATCAGGCCATTCTACTTCTATAAGGTAAAGAAGCACTGGCCTAGGACAGGATTGGTGTTAAAAATGGCTTCGTACTGGATTAAGAGTCCCAGAGTCCTCCCTAGGGAGTCAGGTAAGGCAAGGACTGATATTAAGTGTGCATCAGGATGTAACTATAGGACACAAAATAACGTGACATGGACACGCCGCCCTTTCAAGATAAAAAGAGACTTTTTAATTTCTGACTCCAACATTTATAGATTTCCAAAAGTGGCAGCGGGTTGGAGGGTGACAGTGCCACCTCTCCAATGACACTGGACAAACCAACAGTCCATCAAATTTCTCCTCCTTCATAAAGGAATGCAAAACAATGAGTTATTTACATAAAGTGTGTGAGAAAGTTTGTTACAAGAATGTCAACATCAGAAGGCTTAGAAAATCTTAAAAAATCAGGGCAACATCAGGCCTATTCTAAATGCTGGCTGTCCTGAAATGTATTACTTGGAAGGTGTAATGCCAGAGCTGAAGCTGAAATATAAAGAACAAAACCCATTTTTTAAATTGTGCTGATCTTTAACATACTGCCCATCAACTTCTACTAGACTAAAGCCTTCAAGCATATATTTTGTTGATCTTTATTGACTGCAGTGTAGTTCTAAAATAGCAGATACAGATCTGAAATATTGGCTTTGGCTGCTACTACTTATCACAGACTTGTTTTGCTAAGTTTGGGGTCTTTTCCTTTATGTAACAAAACATAGAATATCTTTTCCAGTGTTTTCTCTGGTTTTGCTCTTCATTTAACCACATTTTTTCCACTTCCAATGTAACTTGATTTTTGACTACTTCAATCCTTTTATCACCTGCCCATATACCTCCAGCTTTTGCTGAATGCCTAGCAGCTTACTGGGGTTAGTTCTGAATAAATCAAGTAGTTCTCTTTGGATGACAGCAACTGAAAAATGGAAGCCTTAGAGAAAGCTGGTTCATTATCTGTCATTCCTTTTTCCTTAACTGCCCAGCTGTGCTGTAGCAAATCTGTCAATATTGCTGTGGCTGGTGGTAGCCTCCATCAAAACTGGTGCACATCCAACTTTATGGAACAGATTTATGTTTGATTTGAATTTTCTCAGCTATTCAGTGTATATTCTTGCAGCACTCTTATTTGGACAAAAATTGCCATTACAGGGGTCTCACACAAGAGACTTGTGACATTTGTAACTTTGTTCTCTAGGAGTAGCTTCTGTAGCAGGAATAAACAAAACTGGTCTTCCATGGAATTTTGTGGCATTTCCATCCTTGGAGCTTTAACAAAACAGGCTGAATGCTGCTCTAATAGGAATGACACAGGGTGGATTTTGTGTTGGAGTATGATACTGCAGTCAGCTCTGTTCAACCCCCTTTTGTCCATGTTAAGGGTTCTGAGTGCTCCTTAAATGAAACTTTAAGCAGTGGTTTTCAGCTCCTCATGTTGTGGGCTGCTTGTTGGCAAGAGCTGAAATGCTGGGGCTGTCACATCCCCAGCTGTACCTGCTCACCTGTCCCAGGTCACTGCTGCATGTGCCCAGTGCTTTCACTTGTGCACAGTTAGCAGTGGTGAGAGAGACCCTAAAAACCCCAGAGTGGATTGTTCTGCACTTGTGGCATATCTGCTGTCCTCTTCCAGCTCCAGGTTGCTTTGGGAAAGGGGGTTAAACAAAGAGGGTTGGGGAAGATGAAGATGTGAGGTGGAGGCTGGAGCACTCTGTGTTGACGTTTTAACAGGAGCCTGAAATAAATAACAGTTAGATGGTGTTAAGCATGAGCAGTGTGACATTGCTGTGTGTGTGTGTCATTGCCATCAGGTTATTGAAGTGCTGATTCGGTCTGAGGAAGGGCTGTCCAGAGACATGGTGAAGCACCTCAATAGCATTGAGGAACAGATTCTGGAGAGTCTGGCCTGGACTCGGAACTCAGCACTCTGGAATGCACTCGAGGCCTCGGAAAACAAAGTCCCAACCTGTGAAGAAGTATGTGATCTCATTCCTGTTACTAGGAAATTCATGTTCTTTTTCTCACTTTTTTAATTTGGAAAACTGATCAAATGAGATTGTTACTGCAGAAAATCTTCTATTAATAGATTGTCACAAAGAAGGGAAATTAATTTTTTATCTTAGACTGACATTTCTTACTTCTCAGGTGATATTTCCCAGTAATTTTGAGGCCAGCAATGGAGGAAGTGGGTTTGGGCACTTGCCCATGATGCCATTATCTCCCATAATTCATCCTCGAGTGAAAGAGGTTCGGACAGATCTTGGTGGGAGTTTAAGACGAGGTAAGTTTAAGGCTTCTGATATTATTTGAATGTGTAAATTTGGGGAGAGGGTTACAATTCTTTGTAATTGGAAAAAGCATCCTAGAATCTGAATTGAGAGTTCAGAATTGTGAAGTTTATTTGAGCAAGAGAAGGTCTAGATGCACCCAGTCAAACCAGTGCTGTGACTAACTGGCTGCAGACAGTGCTTCCCTTCTGGATGGAGCAGATTTTGCTCCTGGCTTGATGCCAGGATGACCTTACTCTGAGATGGATTGTCATCAATCACTTATTGTCCATTGATGTTCAAATTTTTCCAGGTTGGTTTTTTTTTTTGCTTTCTGTTAGTTTATGGTCAGTGAGTTTGACTGGATTTTACCTGACTTTTTTTTTAGATATCTTGACAGAGCTACACTTAACTCCTGCTTCCTACAGAGCTGTGTTTGTGCTGGGTGGAGGACAGTGCTTTGCCTGCAGTGTTCTGTCCTCTGAAGCTGCTCTTTGCAGATTCCTGGATCTCACACAGAACTGTCTCCTGACACTGAGGGGTGCAGAAGCAGTGCCAGCACTGCTGTTTCCTTTGCATGCTTCTCTAGTTAGGAATTGCAGCTTTTGTTGTATCCCAGACACTGGTCCATATGTTCTTGCACATGCTATGTGAGCTGATGGGTTGTGTAATGTTGTCTCCTTCAGTGTTTGTGTGGCAGCAAACAAGGCTGTTTGGTATTTTTTTAAATACTCCTTGGGAAGGAGATGTACCAGCAGTTTCTGTGTTAGGGTTTGCTGATGGAAGAGGAACCAGACTGGAGATGGTGTCTTACATCTGTCTCTCAATCCCTGCAGTCTCCAATCAGTCTTACCTGACCAGTTATCCAGATGATTTCTGACTCATGGGAAGTAGGAAATTCTTGTCGCTGTGATTGTCACAGACTGCAGCAGAAATGCAAAAAGCCTGTGAGCAGAAGCCTGGCACATTAGTGCTGTGTACTTCAGGCTTATTACTGGAGCAGATGTTTGAAAGCAAAAGGAAAGCCTGAGAGGAACTGGGGCTGTGTGAGAGTGGAGTCACCTGTTTGGGAGCAGTTTAGAGGGAGTTTGAAAGCCAGAACATAGGGAAGGCAGCATGTCCAAGGAGTGTGGTCAGGGTTTCTGTAAAGGAATGTGTTCACAGGAGTAACACTTGCAAAAATTCCCTAATTGCTAGGCTGACTGGAGTAAGTACCTCTGATCCTGTGTGTTCCTCAGTCCCTGTGGATCAGAGTGACTGCTCGGCTTCCATGTGATACCTGATGGCAGAACTGCACTGTCTGGGGTGACTGCAACACTGAGAAAAGTCAGACTACAGATCTTGTTCTTATCACCTCAGAACAGTGAGTTCTGAGAGCAGGCCTGAGCTATAAGTGATCTCTGCTCGTGTAGTTGGAAGGTATCCTTTCACCTTCTTTGCAGAAGTATTTCCATTAAGCTGCCATTGTTAAGGTTTTATATTTTCTTCCTTGACATGCCAGACGTGCAGCCATTGTCTCCAATCTCCGTTCACGAGCGCTACAGTTCTCCTACAGCTGGGAGTGCTAAGAGAAGGCTCTTTGGAGATGACAGCCCCAAAGAAACGCAGATGGAAAAAATCTTAATGAAAGGAACTAAGCTGACAATTGCTCCAGCATCAAGCATTGGTGCTGAAAACATGTCAGCATCTCCTGCCCAGACAGTGCTGACCATGACAACCACTACAGGACCAGGAAAAGCAGGACAGAAGGTCACTATCCCACTGCATGGTAGGAATTCTTGCTGCTTTTCTTCTCTACTAGGATATTTTCTTTAGTCTTAAATTATGCTTAGACCAACCATGCATCTTGAAAGTGTGTTGTTTTTTCTTTCTAAAAAAACAGTTACTTTGTCAACAACAGCTGTCCTGGTTTGAAGGACAGGTGTCTGTGAAGAGAGGAAACCTCCCCTGGAATGGAGAATATGATCCTCTTCCCTCTGAATTATTATAACTTTGAAATGAC